AGGCTCCGGGGCAGCACTTACCTCAAGCGGCTCCCGAAAGCAGCAGCATGTCCCTTCTCTGGCTCCTAGGTGGAAGCGCAGCCAGGCAGCTCTGCGCGTTGCCCCGTCCGCAGGCACCGCCCCTGCAGCTCCCATTCGCTGTGGTTCCCAGCCAATGGGAGCTGCGGGGCAGCATGCAGAGCAGAGCCCCCTGGCTGCCCCTACACATACGAGCTAGAGGGGGGCCATGCCGCTGCCTCCGGGAGACGCGTGGAGTGGCCCCTGACCCTGCTCCCTGACTACAGCATCGGAGTGGGCAAGCCCCAGACCCCACTCCCCAACGGGCGCTCGAGGGCCGAATTAAAATGGCTGGTGGGCCAGATCCGGCCCGCGGGCCGTAGTTTGCTCACCCCTGTTCTACATGGAAGAATGGAAGAGCACAGAACATAGCTCAGTCTTTGGGAAGTGCTCTTTGCAGGGTAGCCCATGCACCATCTTCCAGCCTAGCTGGGGGAATGAGAGGATAACTGCTCTCTTTTGCCCAGCTGCAATGAAGGATAGCACTTGTGCTCCTCCTACAGTGGTTTTTCTATAGGATAACGAAAGCTGAGCAGGGTCACATCTCACTCCGATACGGCTCTTGACAATATCACTAGGATGACAGTGTGTACAGGAGCACTAGTTTGAGTGGTGACACAGACAGCCAAGGAGGAGGTTCTCCTGGAGGTGCATGGATAACAGCACATGTGAGTTTTGGGTCCACGACCAGACTCAGGAGAGATTCATTTAGTCCTCAGCCAGAAGCAGGGCTGATACGGTGAGGGCATTTGGGGAAGATGAGGGAAAGAAAAATAAAGACCTCAGAACATCCTGCCCCCCCCCAAAAAAGGGGAGAGTGGACCAGGAGACAGAAAATAAAAGCCTGGGGGAGAGAGGAGGAGAAGAAAGAATTAGATGTACAAAGTTTGAGGGAGGGGGAAAAGAGGCAAGAGTAAATAATCTTTGAGGGACGATAACAGTCAAGTTACCATTTTCTCAGTGTTCTCTCTCAGCTGTTAGGAAAAACAATTCACTACTAGAGTACCGTACTCACCACTCTGATTCTGTGTCCAATGGCCTTAGCAGGAAGGTTGGACCGGAACTTGGCACGAACCATACCACTGTTTCCATGGGCACGCGTTACCTTCCCCCAGATCACTCGTGTTCTGTTGGGCTTCCCACCTGGAGTCACGGTGTTGCTAACAAACAGAAGACTGTTAAATCCTGGGCATTCCACTCCTAACCAAGTGCTGGTCTATTTAAAGCAACAGTGGCAGGTTAAAAACACCATCTTCTTTTAAAAAGTTTCATTCCCTCTATTGTCATGGCTCCCTTGGAATAGTCAAACTGAAAGTTTAGAAACATTTATTTGATCACCCATAACGCAGATTTGCTTTCATCCAAGCTGACAGAAATCCACATTGTGAAGAGATTTTTTTGGTGATCTCATTAGCCTGAGGTTGTGATGTTTGAATTGCAAATGCAGCAGGGGAATGGGTTTAAACCCAAATATAAAAGCACGAAAACATGTCTGCACATTTGTCCCATCAAGCTCTGGGTGGACCTAACAGTGTCCCTTTACAAAACACCCTTCAAGCAACAGTCTTCTACCTGGCTTATATTAATTCAGTAATTTACAGAATTAAATCAAACTAAGTAGATATAAGCCAGTTGGCACACTTGTTGAACTGTGTCCACAGAGATTTGCACCAGTTTAACTAATTCAATTAATTAATTGTGTTGTGTGTGTAGATCACCCTCCTATCTTAGCGCTAGTCTACACGGCAGCGCTTTAACGTGCCTTGTGTGGTCACGGCAGAGCGCTGGGAGAGAGCTCTAAAAAAAAACCACCCCCACAAGGAGCGCGGCTCCCAGCGCTGGGA